ACCCACCCCCTGCGGGCCGCCGGGGTTCCGGTTCCGAATCCACCCGGGGGCCAGGATGAAGATCCGACACCAAGGCCAACAGTACAGGCCGAGGATGGCATTTCTCCAGAAGGTGAGCGCGGTCCGGTGCCCTGGGCCCCGGGAGGTGCGCAGGCTCCCAACTCTGGGAAGTGAGCGCGGGGATGCTGGGGAGGCTCGGAGCGTGTGGCCGGGAGCGGAGGGCACGCCTGCGGTCTTAGATGACTGGGATGTATTGTAATGACATTATCTGTTTAGGTGTCCCAGCCGCCCCCTGGGCCTGAAGCATCAGCCCTGCTTGGGCAGAATGTTGGGAGGGTGAGGAGCTTCCTACCCGCCCAGGAAAAACTGTGCTGAGAGTGTTCTTTCTACACCTTTTCTCCCAGCGGTTCCCAGCAGCTCGGGTGATCCACGGGGTAACCTGCCCGCGAATATCTCCTGTCTTGATGTCCTTCCTTTCCCTGGCTCACTTCCCCAGCCACCTAGGGCAGCTTCCCCAGCCGGGCTCAGCCCTCTTCCCGACGCTGCGAGACAGGTTCCATTATTGTCCCCATTTTGCAGGTAAGGACAGGGGCGGGTAGGGACCAAGACTGAAGAACTGGGGTGATTCAGCGACACAGTGACACAGTGAAGCTGGTCTCGCTACAACGGTAGAAGCATAAAGCACAGCCCGCAGTGGGTCCTAGCTCCCAAATCTGTGTGAGGAGCAGGGGCAGGAACCCCGAGGGCAGAGCCTTGAGGCTGAGATTGAAGGGGCTTCTGCTGTGGTGGGGGCGGCGTGTGCCGGGGCAGAGGCGTGCGCCAGTCTGGTGAGTACGGGGGGACAGGCAGGCAAGGACGGGTCATAAAGATCTCCTGTGCCTTTCAGAGGTGGTCTGATTTCCCCCCAAAAGAAGCCACTGAGGAATTTGGAGCAGGTGAGTGATGCGGTCAGATTCAAGCTCAAAATCAAGTTCAAAAGACCATTCCGATGCGAACGAGAGGAAGGTTGGGATGTCGTCTTCTCCCTGAGCTGAGAGACTTCACACTCGAGTCCTCCTGTGTTCACTGCAGCTGTCACCTAGGAAGTGACAGGCTTATCAAGGACTGGGAGAAAGGGACGGGTCAGAAGGTCCCTTCTTTCTCCTGGGGCGGCTTGGCCTCCAGCTCAGGCCCAGTGCCACTCTTGGGTAGACAGGCCCACCGGCCACACCGCTGCCACCTCTGATTTCTGTTGCCAGGCCTGGTGACTGGCACCCCACCAGGGAGGGGTCCAGGCTTGCTTAAGATGTGGCAAGAAGCGGTGGAAAGTCTACTATCCAAGAGGTTTGCCCCCGGGGCGGGGGGGGTTGGCTGATGACACACAGCGGACATGAGAGCGTGGCTGGGCCGCCTTCCGTGTCCCACACACAGGGCGCTGCTCCCGTTCTGGCCTATCTCTGTGTCTGGGCAACTCTGACCAGCTAGGGGGTGAGGCGGACAAAACGTTCCTTCGGGCCTCTAATATGTTTTTCTTTAAGACTTAGGGAGATCGTTGGGCCTGGTTGAGCACTGCAAGGAGTAGGAATCTTCAGAAGGCTCAGGCGGATTCGGAATTGCTTATGTCAGGGGCGCCTGGGTGGCTCAGTCCGTGAAGTGTGCAAGTCTTGACTCTTGATGTCGGCTCAGGTCATGATCGCACGGTTTGTGAGATGGAACCCCGTGTCGGGCGCTGTGCTGACCGTGCGGAGCCTGCTTGGGATTCTCTCTCTGCCTCTTCTCAGCTCGCTCACGTGAGTGTGTGCGCTCGTGTGCACGTGTTCTCTCTCTCAAAATAAGTAAATAAACCTAAACAAATAGAATTGCTTGTGCCATTTATACATTCATCCATGTCACAAACATGTGCTGAGCATCTGTTGTGTTTCAGACATCGTTAGATGCTGGGATAGCAGACAGTCGAGGCATGGTCCCTATCTGCAAGCAGCTTTTAGTCTAGAAGCCACATACGCCAATCACAGGTGCCACGACAGACACCTGCAGGGTAGAGGAAGTGCGTAAGTTCCAGCATTCGCTTTATCCTTGCTCAAGGTCACACGGGTGGAATATCAGGAAAGGACTTTGGAAGACTGCGCGGTGGGTGGGCTGGATCTTGAAGGATGGGAAGGTGTTGTTGAGGCAGCTGGGGTGTTGGTGAAGTCGGAGAACTTGCATTTAGCTGCAGATCTAGTGCGTGTCCCTTGCTGACCAGAGCCAGGTGGTGAGGGCCAATAGTCAGTCCTATTTCTGAAGGGAGGTTCTGGAATACTTGAGAGAAGTTCTCGGTAGTTATTGAGAATGTAACAAAAACGAGGACTTTCTGAGGCCGGACACAGCTAACAAGGCATGTGGGACGTGGGCATTTGGACTGTGACTGGCAGCCGTGTAGCTGGGACAAGAGTCTCCCTACTAGGGAAGAGAGTGCAGTGGCTTGGGATCCTATTCCACCTTTGCACAACAAAGGATATGATGCGGATGTTCCCCAGGGAGCCCTCTCTGGCGGACAGGAACACTCTGGTCCCACAAATCTTAAGGACAGTGACAGCCACTTCATGTGAGAAGAAGCCAGAAGCATGGGTGGATGGAAGAATGAGGCTATTGCTTTTTGATGCCTTGTAGGGATGGTCTGGATTCTTTGAAATGCTTGATGTCATACTTGTCAGCTGGACTCTGAGAGGGGGAAAATGCTAGGCCTGTTGTGGGGTCAGAGAGGCCCAGGATGATCTCTTTGTTGTTTGTGGCCTTGGAATTAGTTGTGGAGAGAAGTCAGGATTCTAGAGAGCCAGGGAACTGTGGTCTGGTCAACTGTGTGTGTGTGTGTGTGTGCGTGTGTGTGTGTGTGTGTTGGGGGTAACAGTGTGGGGAAGGGATAGGGGGTCTTCAATGTGTCTAATGAAAAAAGATACCTCCGGAGGGCTGCACACAGAACACGAAGATGAGGGGGGCCCAGAGATGCCCCAGCAACACCCCTTCTAGAGGGTTTTAAGAATCAACATGGACTGTCTCTTGTTGGTGTGCAGTGTTCATTTAAGACAGGGAGACGGCCAGGCTCCCCTCTCTGAGACCTTAGGAGTCAGTCCTACGTTTTGCACTTCATTCTTTTTCAGGGAACCCCTTCAGCGAACTTACATGAGAAAAGGTCAGAGGAAAATTATTCTGTACCCTAATGGGAAGTCTTAGCCCGTCCAGGCTGGTATCGCAAAATACCGCAGAGTAGCTGGCTTACAAACAACAGAAATTGATTGCTGACGGTTCTGGAGGCTGGGAGTCTGAGATGCCAGCATGGCCGGGGCTGGTGAGAGCCCTCTTCCCAGCCACAGACTTCGTGCTGTGTCCTCGCAGGGCGGAAGGGGCTGGGAAGCTCTCTGGGGTCTCTGTGGTCAGGGTGGGAATCTCATTGACGGAGACTTTCAGGAGTAAAACTAACGAATCACTGAGGTAGTACTTAGTACGAGTTTATTGCGCCTGCACCAAAAAGACAGTTTGCAAACTGGGAGCCCTCAAACCGAAGCATGAGAGGGAGGCTCAGGCGTGCATTGTTATAAAGCAGCTTAGACAGCGTGGAGGCAGTGACTGCTTATTCTTTACAGTGATGGGTTATAATACTAGAAGTTTCTTAAGTGACAAGGAAATGGGCAGTGCTTACCTCACATTATCCTGGGGAAACAGGTCACATGTTGCTTATAATTTCCAGAGGCAGAAGCAAGAAATGACCCAGGTCAAGCTAGCCTTGCAAAATAAGCTAAATCAGGCTTTATTGTATGACTAAACTGGGTTTTTTTTTGTTTTGTTTTTTGTTTTTTTTCCTGCTTGGGGAATTTTCAAGGCTGGTCTTGATGTGGTTTTTATTTTAACAGTTTCAACTTACAGGGGTACCTGAGGGGCTCAGGCAGTGAAGCGTCTGACTTCGGCTCGGGCCATGATCTCATGGTGTGTGGGTTTGAGCCCCGCATAGGGCTCTGTGCTGACAGCTCAGAGCCTGGAGCCTGCTTCGGATTCCGTGTCTCCCTCTCTCTCTGCCCCTCTCCCCTTCATGCTCTCTCTCTCTCTCTCAAAAATAATCACTAAAAAATGTTTTTAACAGTTTCAACTTATA